GTCAAATAAATAAAATCTTAAAAAAAAAAAAAAAAGAAAATGATATAACACCAAAATGCATTTTGTTTATCCTCAAAATGTGAGGAGGGAAATGGAAAGGCCAGTTTATAGATCATATTTTAATTTATTGTTCAACTGATTTGGTCCCATTGTTTCACTTAGCTATTTATAGCTTTTTTGAGATTGTCCTTACAACTGATGGGAAAGTGACTTCTATCCATTGGATAGTACAGATCTGATCTCACTCATAGTGGAGAAGAGGTGTGTGAAACATCTGATCTTCCTATCTGGGGCTATTCATCTGGAAGACAGTTGTTTTCATGGCTGCTTTTGGAATAGTTTTGGTTCAGGTAGTGGCAGTGGATTGTAAACTCTAGATCATAATTTTGCACATTTCACATGGGATAGCTTCTAATATGAATTTCTTCTTTGAGGAAATTGGCTATAGATCTGGATGAGTCATGATGCAACTGTTAATGTAGAAAATGTGTCACAGATTCTGATGGGAAACAAGCTACTTGTAAAATACTGAAGCTCCCTTTGCACACCGATGTTTTTCTGAAAAACATCTAGTAAGACCTTTCTAATAAGGAATTCCTTTCTGATAAGGAATCAGAGGTGAAATGTGAATGACACACTTTTGAGAGGTTATTTGTAGTCTTGTATGAGAAAACTGATGAATCTGGCTGAGAGTTTGAATATCTTGGTGTAGGCTTTGAGATATTTTGGTCAATTCATTTTGAAAACTAGTTCTTTTGGTAGGTAGAATACTGTGCATTAAAAATAGTGGTAGATATAGCTTTGAAATTTCATATAGTGAAAGGCAGCTTGCACAGGCTCCTTTGTTAAAAATGTTTTGTTGAGTTTATATTATTCTAAGTGGACCGTGCAGTTCTTGTGTTGACTTGATTTGATTCATCTAAGGCTCCCTGTGATCAGGGAAGATGGTAAGTCATGGTTGAAATTAGTTTATTGTTGAAATGCTTTAACATTTAAAGAACAGATTATATCGGGCACACGTTTTTGTATCTGTCTGCTAAGCAGTCTGTTGTCTCTGGGTCTTTATATAATCCAGTATAATGCTTGCTTATGAACTCTAGGAAAGTTCTTTAAGAAGTAACTTCTTATAGATGGCCGATAGTTTGGGGTGTGAGAGAAAAAAAATATTTGCATTATTGCATATTTCTATTATATATAATATCATCACACATTTGTCTGTCTCTATATCCTCTTACACCCAGAGCCAGCTCTGCATGCATTTCTTTAAAGCAGGGATCTCCAGAATGTCATCACTGTTTTTTTTTTAAGATTTTATTTATTCATTTGAGAGAGAGAGAGAGTGCACACAAGCAAGGGGAGAGGCAGAGAGAGAGGGAGAAGCAGACTCCCTGCTGAGCTGGGAGCCTGATGTGGGGCTCGATCCCAGGATCTGGAGATCATGACCTGAGCTGAAGGCAGATGCTTAACCATCTGAGCCACCCAGGTACCCCTCCAGAATGTCATCACTGTTGACTAGTCTGTTGTTGGTGCCCCCATCCAGGTCTCTCTGCAGCTGCAGGATTAGGCCACACCCCCTTCTCTT